GTCTTTTTGATCATCCATGACATCTTTAATACTCTTCTCCAACACCACATCTCAGATGAGTTGCTTTTCTATCAGCTTTCTTCACAGTCCAGCTTCCATATCCATACATGATGATGGGAAAGATGATGGCTTGGACAAGTTGAATACCTGTTGTAATGCTAAATATTTCACAGCAGCTTAGTATTGCAGTTAAGTCCCATTAGCTATATGAAAGACCTACAAGGACATTTGATCTAAAGGCAGGGAAGAGAAGGAGATGGGATAATATGAATGTTTCTGTACCTTTGGACTCTCTCTGGGGACAGTCATGATGAGTGCTTGCACTTCAAAATTAACTATTATGCCTTATGCCATGGTTGGTGGATATGCCACATACCACTACTGGCAGTTTCTTCTTTGAGATCTTCCTCGTGCTTTTCCCCCTTTCTCTGTACTATTTTGGTTCTTTCTGATGTCCAGTCTGTTTCTTTGATCCTTGGCTGTATGCCCTTAGTTTTCATCCTTATCTAGCTATGTCACTCATGGCATTACCTTTTAACAATACCCTTTGACATTTGCTTTACTTCTCAAACAAAACAAATTTCTTTCTTTTAAAAAGTCAGTTATGAATTAGGTCAGAAATATTTAAAACTTTGCTTTAGGCTATTTGTTAGCTTCTTCTTGGCAAAATGAATTGGTCTTTGCACATTATAATTATCCCTTTACAACTGAAAAACTGTTTGTTAAAACTGGGAGGGGGATTAAAAACACATGCCAGTACACTATAACTAAGAGTTTAAAAAACAGATGGATATTGTACATAAGAGCACTGAAAATACATAAGAGCACTGCACAGTACATAAGAGCACTGAAAATATCACACATGTCTATTTGTAATATTAGAAATAGGTGGCTTGTTTTGATCATTCAGAAGAGAGTGTAAATATCCCCAGTTAATTAAGCAAAAGAAATTAATTTTGCATAATAATAAAATACCACCTGTGTTACCCACATAGAACTCCTTATCCTGGTTCCCCCTTGAGGCCTATGACTCATCAGACACTTCTGTTGAAAGCAAGATATTTTATTACTTGCTTTGGGCAACAGGATGACTGGTTTCTGGTCTCTTTCAATGGTTTATCCATAGTCACCTTGATATGTACATGTAACTCACCATAGTGCTTGGAAGATTGTTTTTGTTGTGCCTTCAAGTCACTTCACGTATGGCAATCCTAAGGTGACCCTATCATGGAGTTTTCTTGACAAGATTTCAAATGTTTTGGACCTCCCAGAATCCCTGACCATTAACCAAGCTGGCTGTGACACTTGGGAACTGAAGTCCCAAAATACCTGGAGGAGCAAAGCCTGTGGGAACTACTGGTATAGAAAGCTGTCTCAAGTAGTACCAGATCATGGTGAACCATCCATAATAAAGACTGGTATTTTATATAATCTTTATATATAATCCTTTGGCTATTTTACATAACTTTAAATGTGTTTTGGTCATGTGTGAAATGGCAAATGAATTTACTTTCTATATTAGAAATTAACCACCAGTTACATTACAGTGTTGCATTACACTATGACAGAGTTCTAGATATTGTCAATCTAGAAAGCTGATGTTCAGATGATAATGCTTGCTAGGATATTTCATAAGCATTACATTAATAAGAAGTATGACCTAAAGATCCTCTTCTGTTCTGTTCTTGCTTTTTGCAGAAGCTGTGTGTAGCTGATTTTTCCACTTAGCATAGAAACAGATTGCTTTTTGTTTTTATTTGTTTACTTTTTTTGTAAGCATGACATCCTGGCAAGAAATCTGTATGGAGGAAAATAGGAGAGTTTAAGCCTATTCTTTACATGTTGTATTTATTTGGAGAACAAGAGATGGTGTGGGGACTAACAGTAAACACTCCCTTAGTTCTTTGTGTATATGAAAGAGCCAGATGGGCCACTTTTATGAAGGATGTTAGAACAGACTCAAGTAAAATCAGTTTCTTTCCTCCCAGCACAATAACCTTAGATGCCACTACAAAGCATGGACATCCTGAATGAGTTTGTCTGAGGGGGCCCAACATAAGGAAATAAACAGCTGTCAAGCTAATTTCTTTGCCAGCAGCAGATAGTATAAGTGAATTGTATAAAATTCATGGATAATGTAGAATGGCTAGAGATAAAATTTTCACAAGATGCTGTGATGGCCATTGGCTTGGATGGCTTTCAAAGAGGACTGCATAAATTCAGGGCAGAAAAATTTATTCATCATGACAGCCAAATTGATTTGGAAGCAGTATACCTTCTTGTCCTCCCCAAATACCCTGAAGGCAACAGATCCTGTCTGATTTTGGAAGCTAAGCACATTCAGCCCTGGTTAGTACTTGGATGGGAAACCATCAATGAATACCAGATACAGTAGCCTATAGTTCAGAAGAAGGAACTAGCAGAACCATATCTGAGTATTCCTTGCCCAAGGAAACCCAATGAAATTCATGGGGTCGCCATAACTTGACAGGTGTCCTGAACACACATACCCCCAAACATAAACTTGCATGTCACATGCCAGAGGAAGAGGGCTTCCCAGAAGCAGCAACTTGGAAACAGAATGCTAATCTAGTGAACATGTTCTCTAATCTAGCAGGATGATTCTTATGTCAGGAATGCTGAAGTCTTGAGCCATCAACATGGAATTACAACTCTCACAAGCCCTTGCTATTGGTGATGCTGGCTGGGAATTCTAGTTGAAAACCAAAGCATTTGAGGGTTTCCATCTTTTGTCTTTTTTGAAGATCTATACAATCAACATTTTAAATCGAGAAGCATCTGCTTCACAATTTGGAATAGAAGACTTGGATGCTTTCCTAAAACCAATGACCAAACATTAAAAAAAGAGAGCGATAGGAACAATCCAGCTACTACAACTACTGTACTGAGATATTTCTTGAAGTCAAACTCTGCCAAGCATGTAAAATCCAACAAATTTCCCACTTCTTTTGCTGACAATTTCATTTACCAGAAGGTGGAAGAAGCAACAAATGTATCATCTATTGTGCATATGAGTCTTACCAGCATGATTGAACTAGTCAGTAATGTGGAAGTGGTGGGATCCATGGATGGGAATGATGATGTTTTCCTGGAATTTATTATGCAGGGGAAAGAGAAAGCTGAATTTAGTCAGACATACACTGGATTTTAAGAAAGTTAATTTCAGTAAGTTTGTGGAAATATTGAAAAAGGATATGGTTCATGGTAGATGGAAGTTGCTTAAAAGTAGGATATTGAAAGCAGAGACAATTCCAATGGGAAAGAAAAGTGGGAAGAACCTAAAAAAAAGCCATGGTGGGTAGGACAGTAGCTTTTGAAAGACTTCAGATTTAAAAGGCACATGTATAAGAAAAGAAAGAAAGGTCAAATCACCAAGGAAGTGTACCAACAAGTAGACAATATTTGTACAGAGAAGATCAGGAGGGCTAAAGCTCAGAATTATCTCAAGTTTTCAAGAGGTTAAAAATAAAAAAGGGCCTTATGTTAAAGGAACAAAAAAAAGGTAAGCAGTAGGTCTACTGTATCGAGAACGTAAAGTGTCTCTACTCAAGAGAAGGCAGAACTTCTGGGATGCTTTAGGAGTTGATTCCTGCATGACAGGGGATTGCACTATGTTGCCCTTGCAATTCCTTTTATTTCTGTGATTTTCCAAGACACAGGAAAAATCTTAGTCAGAACTGAGCAAGAATGTTCTACTTTCCATAGCCCATAACAATTGAACCCACTTTACTGAGGTGAGGTTATGGCAGAGAACTAGTAAATATCAGTGTACATTAAACTGCATTAAACAGCCATGGCTCCATCCTATGGACTTGTGGGACTTGTAGTCTGTGGTGACACCAGAGGTTTTTGATAGAGAAGGCTAAATAGTTGACAAAACTACAAATCCCAATTCAATTCCATAACGCCATGACAGTTCATGTTGTGTCAAACTGTATTAATTCTGCATTACATATGCAGCTCAAGAAAAATTGATTTAGGCAAAATTACACTTAGAAAAGAAAAGTAAGCTTGGAGCAAATTATGTAGCTGTTAAATGGCAAGGGATAGCTGGGCATTTCTTCTCCTCTGAAAGCAAATTAACTGTAGCTGCTTATTGCATCCTTATTAGCCTTGATGCAGCTCATGTTATGTGCATCAGTTTATAAGCAATTTTAAAACATTTTTTTTTAAAAAAAGAACTGGGCAATGATGTGCCTGCC